GACTCTTACATAGCTTAATTCCTTAGGGTAGGTAGATGACTCATGGGTACTTGCTCTTCTCAAAACAAACAAAATACTTTTCACACCTTACACTTTCAAAAAGTTTTTTCAAACAATACTTCATACACTCTTGAGGACTGATACAAGAGTTACCTAGAAGTTTTCAAACGAACTTTTTCAAAACCCACACACACTTGAAAAGCAAACAAATTTTGAAAACATAAGAGAAAGTACCTAAGAGCCCGTGGATAACCACGGATAGAAAGGGTGCTAACACCTTCCCTTTCTATAAATCTACCTCCCGAACCGAGAAACATTCTCATAAGGAATTTTGTTGTGCTTTTGTCCTTTCCATGTTGGAGAATATAAAAGACGGTGGTGACTCTTGCTTACCGTGACATTTCGCGAACCAGCTTAAAAAAACAGTCAGTTCTATTTCCACCGATCACAATCAGGAATTCAGATTGTATGCCACTTTGAGAATGAGAATCTTCATTCTGTTGGGAATATCAGGAGCTTGGGTTGTATGCCAATCTACTGGGGTTTCAAGGATGAGAATCTTCATTCTGTTAAGGGTCAGAAACTGGGGGTATACCAATCTTCTGAGGTTTTAAGGATGAGAATATTCATTCTGTTAACGGTTAGAAATTGGGAGTATACCAATCTTCTGAGGTTTTAAGGATGAGAATCTTCATTCTGTTAACGGTTAGAAATTGGGAGTATGCCAATCTTCTGAGGTTTTAAGAATGAGAATCTTCATTCTGTTAACGGTTAGAAATTGGGAGTATACCAATCTTCTGAGGTTTTAAGGATGAGAATCTTCATTCTTTTAACGGTTAGAAATTGGGAGTATACCAATCTTCTGAGGTTTTAAGGATGAGAATCTTCATTCTGTTAACGGTTAGAAATTGGGAGTATACCAATCTTCTGAGGTTTTAAGGATGAGAATCTTCATTCTGTTAACGATTAGAAATTGGGAGTATACCAATCTTCTGAGGTTTTAAGGATGAGAATCTTCATTCTGTTAACGGTTAGAAATTGGGAGTATACCAATCTTCTGAGGTTTTAAGGATGAGAATCTTCATTCTGTTAACGGTTAGAAATTGGGAGTATACCAATCTTCTGAGGTTTTAAGGATGAGAATCTTCATTCTGTTAACGGTTAGAAATTGGGAGTATACCAATCTTCTGAGGTTTTAAGGATGAGAATCTTCATTCTGTTAACGGTTAGAAATCGGGAGTATACCAATCTTCTAAGGTTTTAAGGATGAGAATCTTCATTCTGTTAACGGTTAGAAATTGGGAGTATACCAATCTTCTAAGGCTTTAAGGATGAGAATCTTCATTCTGTTAACGGTTAGAAATTGGGAGTATACCAATCTTCTGAGGTTTTAAGGATGAGAATCTTCATTCTGTTAACGGTTAGAAATTGGGAGTATACCAATCTTCTGAGGTTTTAAGGATGAGAATCTTTATTATTGAGAGGAACAGATTTTAGGAGCTTCAGTTGTCCGTTATCTTGTTGGTGGTTGTAACTTCCAGCAGGTGATGAAGGAAATTTTGAATGATGATCGTAACTTCCAGCAGGTGATGAAGGAAATTTTGAACGACCTTTCAACTTGAAATGTAATTTTGCTTTGGAGAGTAAATCCTTGACAAATGTTGGGGAAATAAACCCATAACCGAAGTTGGGGATTGAAAATCCTGGCTAACTGCCGATTGCTTAGGGAGCAAGATCTTCAATTGTTGAGGTTTTTTTTTTATTTTATTTTTTAGGACCACTGCTGGGGATTGAAAATCCTTGGGGATTTGTGGGGGACTGAGAATTCTAATGATCTCTGCTGGGGAATTCAGAACCTGGGAGACTCATGCTGAAGAAGTAAGACTGAGAATCGTCAGTCTGGTGGGAAGTATCTCTGTGGGGAGAAGGTTCACTAGTCTAGTTCCACTGGGGATTGATAGTTGGAATTTTGGCTCCACTGGGGATTGGATGTTTAGATTTTTAAGGTTCCACTGGGGGTCTTGACTCTAAGGGGAATTGAGTTCTGGAAGGCTCTCCGGCTGGGGAAATCAGTTTTGAGAAAGCTTTTGCTCTGTTGAAGATCCTGAAGTTTAACTCTGTTTGGGGAATTAAGTTCTGGATTGAGGAATTTGGAGTTTAAATCTGCTGGGGATTCCTTTTGAAAGGGCATCACGGTATCTACCTATTCGTTCAAACTATCAGTAATCATCTTTTCCTGATTTGTAAGAAAAATGATTATGTTCAAATGCATATGCCTATTTAAAAAAACATTGGACGTTTCTCAAATAAACATAAGTGCAAAAGAGAAAAAGGAAGTCAAGGCAAATTTCTGTATTTGGAAAAGTATTTGTATTGACTTTCTATGAGTATCTTTGTACAAAGGAAACAGGCATCCTAGTAAGAGGACGTCGTCGTAAAAATTGAAAATTTTATACAAAAGAAAGATGGCTATGTGCAACAATTCCATGGAATTTCATTCTGCTATAGCCTTCACAACTCTGAATACCTATCCATTCAATGCTTCGTCTGCCGGTGACTGGATTAATCAGAAGCTTGGAGCTGGTTGATGAAGAGATTGTCCTTAAAGTGATCCGGCGAGACATAGTCATACGCTTTAATTCCCTAAATTTTTCCTGGATCGCCCTTTCGGGTTTTCGATCCACCGGGAAACCCATTTTTGCCCAAGCCGCCCTTTCGGGTTTTCAACTTTCCGGGTGTACAGATTTTTTTGTTTTATCCCTAATTTTTGCCTGAACCTCCCTTTTGGGTTTTCGGTTCACCGGGATGCCCATTTTTGCCCAAGCCGCCCTTTCGGGTTTTCGACTTGTCGGGTTATTTTATGCGTAGTATCTTTTGACTATGTCTGCGTTTGTAGGGTGCGGCAAATCGTCGCCGTCCATGGTGGTCATAATCATTGCACCACCAGAAAATATGCTCTTGATCACAAATGGTCCTTCGTATGTAGGAGTCCATTTGCCCCTGGGATCACTTTGCGGAAAGATAATCAGCTTGATTACGAGATCTCCGACTTGATACACTTGACGTCTGACTTTCTTGTTGAAAGCCTTGATCATCCGTTTTTGATACGTCTGACCATGGCAAACAGCAGTGAGTCGCTTCTCGTCGATCAAATTGAGTTGATCAAGTCGGGTCTGAATCCAATCGTCTTCACTCAAACCAGAGTCCTTCATAATCCTTAAAGAAGGAATCTGAACCTCCATGGGCAGGACAACTTCCATGCCATATACCAAAGAAAATGGGGTTGCCCCTGTCGAAGTACGTGTCGTGGTACGGTATCCATGCAGAGCAAACGGTAGCATCTCATGCCAGTCTTTGTAGGTGACTGTCATTTTCTTAATGATCTTCTTAATGTTTTTGTTCGCAGCTTCAACAACACCGTTCATCTTCGGCCGATAGGGAGATGAATTGTGATGATAAATCTTGAATTGTTCGCATAGAGCGGTGATCATAGTATTATTCAGATTTGTACCGTTGTCTGTGATGATCCTGTCGGGGACACCATACCAGCATATGAGATTTTTTTTGATGAAGCGGGCAACCACATTTTTTGTAACGGAGGCGAAGGAAGTTGCTTCGACCCATTTGGTAAAATAGTCAATGGCGACCAGGATGAAGCGATGTCCATTGGACGCTGTGGGCTTGATCTCCCCGATCATGTCAATGCCCCACATTGCGAATGGCCAAGGAGCTGTCAGAACGTTGAGAGGAACAGGAGGAATATGAATCTTGTCAGCGTAGACTTGACACTTGTGGCAAGTACGGGAATGCTGATGGCAATCTGCTTCCATTGTAGACCAGTAATAGCCTACCCTTAGAATCTTCTTAGCCATCGTATGCCCGCTCAAGTGAGTGCCAAATGTACCGCTGTGTATCTCGGTCATGATTAACTCTGCTTCAGCTTTGTATACACATCGGAGTAAAACACAATCATGGCTTCGTTTATAGAGGATGCCATTGCTCAGGAAGAACTTGGCAGCAAATTTCCTTAGGAACTTCTTGTCATTGATGGAAGCTCCTTCGGGGTATTCTCTAGTCTGGAGATACCTTTTGATTTCATGGAACCAGGGTTGTTCCATTACTTCTTCGGTCACTACAAGAAAAAATGAGTTTTACGACACATGAGTTGCGACGGTTCCCATAAATCCGTCCTTATTCTTGGACTGCGACAGTTGTCACGACAGTTAGAGCCAATCGTCGTAGATTTTTAAGCATATTGAGTAACATAATTGAGACAGTTGCCAAAGAACTGCCCTCTTTCCACACTCGCGACCAGTATAACAGATTGTCGCGACTACTTTGACCAATCATAATTAATATTTTGTTATTATTTTATTTTCTCACTTTTTTCCATTTGTTTTATTTTTCCATCTTTTCACTTTTATTAATTAAATATAATAATAGTAATTAATTAATTATAATATTAGTATTATAATATTACTTACTAACTATTAATTATATTAATAGTAGTTATATAATATAATAGTAACTATATTAATATTAGTAGTATTTAAATAATATAATAGTAATGTCAATAGATATTCAATAAAAAATAGAATTATAGCATATAAATATATTTAAAAAAACAAGAAAGCTTTTTAACGCATCTTGTTTCACGATTGTTCCTTTCACTGTCCCTTTGGCTGGAACGTATCATATCCCACGACGGTTTAAGAATCGACCCGGCTCAGATTTATGATCGTTCTCAACCTTTCGTAACGTTCTTTCAATTCACGCGCGCTAAGATTCTCAAATTCTACCGCAATTTCCTTTTCTTTTCAGAATCACAAACTCCTTTGTACATAAAGACGACTACGTATCAGATCTGAGATATCCAATCGAAAGCATCAAATTTCCTCTAGAGATCTTCGTACTGGCCTCCTTTGATTGCTAAGCAAAGGGGAAGATCTCTCTTTGAAGTCGCACAAAGAAGGTATTCTGTGTCGCACAAATCAGCAGCAATGTCTGGAGAATCCGCCACCGCTATTCACAAGGGTCAAGTAAGATTCAAACTCTATCATTCACTATTATGATCATCGTCAAGTTTATCTTATTTGATTTAGGGTACACAAGTTCTAACCTAGTTCATATACTTTTGATTAGGTTGATCTCTTAGGCTTCATAGATTGGATTGGTGTTGAATGCCTCAATCAAAGCACCACTCTCTCTGTTTCCAGTGCTATCAAACAGGTTATGTTTCTTTTTTCTATGATTCAATTCAGAAGCAAAAACCCTTATTGTGTTAGCTATGATTTTATCTTAATGTAACTTTGCTTGATGAAAATTAGGGTTATAGAGAAGATAAAGGTTTTCATCTAGAAATTGATGCATATGAACAGTTTTTGCTTTATATTGCTTTCACCCAAGTTATTAAACTTTATTCCATTATTGTCAAAGGTCCTGAAGATAAAGTTAACCACTTCCTCATCCACATTATAGAACTAAACTACATTATTAATTTTGAAATCTCAATTGTTCTAGAACTGATGTCAGTGTTTTATCTCTAACTGACAATAATCAACATTGACAAGTGAGGTGTCCTATAAAATAATGGTGTTGTTGGTGGTCACTTTTTTCTGTCCAATTAAACTCTCATTGTCCATAAATTACATAGGGAGGTGCTGAAAGGGAACAAGGATTACTTCAGATACTGACTGAGATGGACGGATTCAAAGTTTCCACAGCACAGGTAAGCTTTAATTAAATTCCAAGATCACAAATATGTTATTTGATATACTGAATTTGAATTTCAGGTGCTTGTGATAGGTGCTACAAATAGATTGGATATTATTGATCCTGCTCTTTTGAGGAAGGGTCGTTTCGACAAGATCATTAGAGTTGGTTTGCCTTTAAGAGATGGAAGACTTGCCATTTTGAAGGTATTTTACCTCCAAAACCTTGATTTACTGGGATCAGTCTATAGTATTTCAATATTTTAAATTTCTTTTTTCCTATTCTTTTTGGTGCATACTGCAAACTAGGTGCATGCTATGAATAAGTATTTTCGCTCAGAAGAAGAAAAAGATACTCTGCTTAACGAAATTGCAGAGCTAACAGAAGATTTTACTGGGGCAGAGCTGCAGAATATACTGTAAATAATCTTTGATAGAAGTTTCTGCATCAATCCATCATCAGAATATAGACTGACAGATCACGAATAAATGACAGGAACGAAGCTGGAATTTTAACGGCCAGGAAGGATTTGGATTATATTGGGCGTGACGAGTTGCTTGAGGCATTAAAAAGGGTTTGTGATTTCTCAGCTTCTTTCTGACTCAGCAATTTCTTATGATATGTTTAATGCATTTTTACACCATCTAATGAAACTTATGGATTTGCAGCAAAAAGGAACATTTGAAACAGGGCAAGAGGACACTACAGAAATTCCTGAAGAATTGAGACTGAGATTGGCATATAGAGAAGCAGCTGTTGCTGTTATTGCATGTTATTTTCCTGAGCCACTCCGCCCTTTTGTTTAGGTAACATTATTTCTTTCAATTTTTGTTGAGCAACTTCATTATGCGTGGAAATGTGATTGTTTCATCTGTGTTGTCGTGTGCTCATTGTTTGCAGAAATAAGTTCTATTTGCAGCCAGCCAAATATGTCTTATAGTGAAGTTTCTACATGCATATTTGTTATGCAGAGATTTTGCTTGAAAAGGGGAAGATCAAAGCTGAGGATAAATAGTTAGCTTTTGAATTGTTAAAGGAAGGATTGTTAAAGGTTAAGTCTAATGTTGAACCTCTAGTAGTAGTTTCGAACGTGCCTAATATGACTCGAGTCTGATTTCTGTTTTTTCAGGGAAAGGTTGGTTAAATTGCAAGGCTAACTCAGATGAAAGGTTGAGCTGGTAAGATGCGAACTCTACGAAGTTAATTGTTTTTAATTTTTGCTTCTGGTTTTCTATTAGTGATTGGAAAGGTTTGATTATCAGAGGTTTAGGTTCAAGTGAATCAAGTTTGGACTGGATGAATTGAACCGTTGCAAATCGGTTTTTGTTTATGGATCAAACTGGTTTAAAGGCTGAATTAAATGAAGTATGATTGAATGATTTCTTTAGTATGTCCATTGTGTATAATGAACTGAACTGGATATGGTTAATTTTGTATATATGCATGGCTTCAAAAACCAACAAGGTATCTATTGTTAAACCTTGGACTACTGGAATAAGTGGACAGCTTCAAAAAGCACTTGTGACAGGTGTGCCAAAGCTAAAGAGAATAGATCTTGAAGTAGCATGTGAAGATTTTAGTAATGTAATCGGTAAATCACCGATTGGTACGTTGTACAAAGGAACTTTATCTAGTGGAGTTGAAATTGCTGTAGCTTCTGTTTCTCTGACATTATCCAAGACTTGGACAAAGAATTTAGAAGCTCAGTTTAAGAACAAGGTACCAAAACTGACCAACTTCAATTTTTTGTTAAGCTGCAATTTAAGCATATATCAATTGTGACTTAACTATAGAAGCAATTATTTGTGGTTTTCAGATAGACACACTATCAAAAGTGAACCATAGGAATTTTGTCAATCTTATTGGATATTGTGAAGAAGAAGAACCTTTTACCAGAATGTTGGTTTTTGAATATGCGCCAAATGGAACACTATTCGAGCATTTACACGGTGAGTACCCGTTAGTAGCGCTTAATGAAGATGTTTCTGTTTAGGCAAACATGTTTGAGTTATTTGATCATGTTTGAAATTGCAGTGAAAGAAGCTGAGCACTTGAACTGGGGACCGAGACTTAGAATTGCGACAGGAATGGCTTACTGCCTACAATACATGCATGGATTAGACCCTCCTGTGGCCCTTACCAATCTGAGTTCTTCAACTGTCCATCTAACAGATGATCATGCAGCAAAAATCTCGGATTTGAGTTTCTCCCGCGAAACAGATTCATCTGAAAAGAAACCTGATGGTAGAAAAGACATTGATATTGATATGACGCAATCAACAAGTCCAGCGAGTAATGTTTATAGCTTTGGTGTTTTGTTATTCGAGATAGTAACCGGTCGGATTCCTTATTCGCTGGATAATAGCTCAGCTGAAAACTGGGCAGCACATTATCTAAAATGGGACAAACCTATGAAGGAAATGGTGGATGCAACTCTAGCATCTTACCAAGAGAATCAGGTGGAACAAGTTGCGGAGTTGATAAAAGATTGTGTGGATCCTGATTCGGAGAAGAGATCGAGAATGAATGAAGTGAGTGAGAGATTGAGAGAAATAACGAAAATGTCGTCTGAGTTTGTAGTTCCTAAACTTTCTCCACTTTGGTGGGCTGAGCTTGAGATTTCTTCTGCATAAGCATGGTGAAGTTGAAATGAATGAATGAATCAGATTGGATGTATGATGTGTATGGGCTGTTTATTTATGGTTGCGGGTCTGCTTCTATTTAAATATCAATTGGCTTATGTTTTCTTTTGTTTTGACGCTAATTCCATCGGTGGAATTAATGCAAAACTGTCTTGGTCTTATGCAGGTTTTGTTCATGGCATGATTCATGGATTTTTGTTGCACGGCGCTTATCATGAAGTTGATGAATATGTGAAGCCACATTGGAGTGCAGAAGCTTGAGTTAAAGCACGATTAAGTTAAGACATGTGAAACCTTTATATTGTGAAAGAAATTAGGAGCTGAATACATAACTCAGTTGAAAAGTTTCTAGAAGTTAGAAGTTTGTTTAAACTTGCCCTAAGATATTGCCTATGTTTTGTGTGAATCTTGCAGGCTGCTAGGTATGCGTAGCTTGGACCAAATGGTAGTCAAGGAAGGATCATGGTCCTAGCATGGAAGTTTAACACAAAATCACTTAACACTAAGGACTTTCATGAATTTTGTAGAATATTGTAACATTTTTTGTAATTCTCTCAAGTTGTAGCAAACCAATGTAAATATTAAAATGAAATTTGGCCTTTGATGATATTTGAATTTTTCTTGTTTATTGGTAAAATTTGCACTTCTTTTTACCTTTGATCACATTTTTTTGATATTATTGATGATTATTTGATATTATTGATGATTATTTGATATTAAATGTTTTTATTGTAATTAACTTTATTATGTTGAAAAGTGATAGAAAATAAAATAAAAATACTATAAATAAAAAAATATTAAAGTAAATAATAATTTAAATATAATAGTAAAATATTATAGTAAAATAATATTATATTTAAAATTATTTTACTAAATAATAATTTAAATAAAAATATTATTTGAAATTTATAAATCAGATTACGACGGTTAAAACCGCCGCAATTTCTAACCTACGGCGGTAGAATAACCGTCGCAAACAACAACAAAAACAAAAAATAAAGTCAAATTCACGACGGTATATAACCGTCGCTATCTGTTGTGCGTGACAGTTTTGCAACCGTCGCGAAATAGGCTGGGGACGCACGATTCTGCGACGGTACTTCTACCGTCGTAGATTGTAAATTGCGACGGTTTTAACCGTCGTAATCAGCCAAAATAACCGTCCCAATCTATCATTTTTCTTGTAGTGGGTATTAATCTCATGACAATGCGCAGGTTCATCCATTCGCTCGATGGTGATTTGGGGAGCCTCGTTATCCCAGTTGAGTTTAAACATGGAAGACATTGTTGCCAGAGCATCTGCTAGCTGATTCTCTTCTCGCGGGAAATGCTCGAAGGTGATTTGCTCGAAATGAGGCAACAATGTCAGGACATGTTCTTTGTATGGTATAAGATTAGGATGCTTGGTATCCCACTCTCCTTTGATTTGACTGATAACCAAAGCCGAGTCCCCAAATACGATCAAAGATTTGATCCCCAAGTCTATAGCAGCTTTGAGACCAAAAATGCAAGCTTCATATTCAGCCATGTTGTTGGTACAGCTGAAGCAGAGTCGGGCCGTGAAAGGCGTGTGACAACCTTCCGGGGAAATGAGTACCGCACCGATACCATTTCCAAGTGCATTTGAAGCACCATCAAAGTACAGGGTCCATCGGGATCCTTTTTCAGGTCTGTCATACGGTCTGTTACCTTCAATGTTGTCCAAATTCATGATGTCCTCGTCTGGGAAGTCAAATCTCATGGGTTGATAATCTTCGATAGCTTGATGAGCTAGATGATCAGCTAGTACACTCCCTTTTATAGATTTTTGGGTAGTATGCTGGATGTCATACTCAGTTAGGATCATTTGCCATCTAGCTATTCTTCCAGATAAAGCAGGCTTCTCGAAGATATACTTGATATGATCCATTTTGGAAATCAACAAGGTGGTATGAGTCAGCATATACTGCCTTAGTCGGCGAGCAGCCCATACCAAAGTGCAGCAAGTTTTCTCGAGCAGTGAGTAGCGAGTCTCACAGTCGGTAAACTTTTTGCTAAGGTAATAAATATCATGCTCTTTTCGACCAGACTCGTCATGCTGGCCCAAAACACAACCCATTGAGTTATCCAAGACGGTCAGATACATGATCAACGGTATTCCTTCAACGGGTGGCATCAGAATAGGAGGTTCTAGCAAATACTCCTTGATCTTATCAAAAGCAGCTTGGTAATCGTCGTTCCATTCGACTACCTGATCTTTCTTTAATAGTTTGAAAATTGGCTCACAGGTAGAAGTCAGATGAGAGATGAATCTGGAAATATAGTTCAAGCGCCCCAAGAACCCTCTAACCTCCTTTTCAGTACGGGGAGCAGGCATTTCTTGTATTGCTTTCACTTTTCCTGGATCGACCTCAATGCCTTTGTTGCTGACAATAAATCCTAGAAGTTTACCAGACCTAACCCCAAAAGTGCACTTACTTGGATTCAGCCTGAGTTTGTACTCCTTTAACCTGGAAAACAGCTTTTCCAGATGTTCAAGGTGTTCCTCCTCTGTTTGTGATCGAGCTATCATGTCGTCTACATAAACTTCGATCTCATGATGTATCATATCATGAAATAAAGCTACCATGGCGCGCTGATAAGTTGCCCCTGCGTTCTTCAGTCCGAACGGCATCACCTTATAGCAGAAGGTACCCCATTGTGTAACAAAGGTGGTTTTCTCCATGTCCTCGGGGGCCATTTTGATCTGGTTGTAGCCCGAGAAGCCATCCATGAAGGAAAACACCTTGTGCTGAGCTGTGTTGTCAATCAAAATGTCGATGTGCGGTAGCGGAAAATCATCTTTAGGACTAGCCCTATTCAAATCCCGGTAGTCCACACACATCCTGACCTTGCCGTCTTTTTTAGGTACTGGCACAATGTTAGCAACCCATTGTGGATAGGATGTAACAGCCAGAAAGCCAGCGTTGAATTGCTTCATTACTTCTGCTTTAATCTTCTCAGACATGTCGGGCCTCATTCGGCGGACCTTTTGCTTGATCGGTGGACAATCCTCTCTTGTAGGGAGACGGTGAACCACTATATTTGTGTCTAAACCCGGCATGTCTTCATAAGACCAGGCGAAGATTTCAACGTATTCATTCAACAGCTGTATCAAGCGTTCCTTGACACTTGGCTCCAGATTG